GGGCAGAGCTGCCGCTGTGGCCCCGTCTGCTCTTTCATCTATGACTCGGGGCCTCAGAGGGCCCTGGGGTGGGCGGGTCCACCCCGCTTGTGCTAGACTGCTCCCGATGGCAACGGGCCGGACCCCCACCCTTGGTACGGCCGTGAGCTGGCAGGAAGGAGGGCCATACCCGGGGGGCCGGGCTCACAGAGGTGAGCCAGTGGGCTGTGGCTGTGGGGTCTGGCATGGGGGGCGGGGCGCTGGGCTGGCCTCGGGGTGCTGCGCGTGACCAGGAGGAGTGCACAGGGCAGGGCGGATGGGCAGCTTCTCCTTCTACCTGCCCAGGAATGGCCTCACCCTGGGGAGGTGGCAGAGCCCAGGGCTGGCGGGGGGCGGAGCCCACGTGGGGCCCACAGCCAGACCCCCGTGGGGTGTTCACCCAGGCCGCTGGTGCCCACAATGCCCCACGCTGTCCTGGAGGCCCTCCCGGGAACCCCTTCTGGCCTGCCTGTAGCAGCCGGTGGCCAGGCCCTGCTGCTCCGGGCGCTGGTGGCGACAGCCTCATTTCCCATGCGCGGGAACAGGCCACAAGGAGCTTGTGATGTGCCCATCTCCCGGAGGAGCCAAGCCCCAAGGTGGGTGCCAATGGCAACGGCAGGCCAGGGGCCCTCGGGAGGCCACGTTGTGCTGTGGAGTGAGGCAGGAGGGCACAGGCAGGCCCTGGGGCAGGGCCTCCTTGGGCCCACAGCCCTGACTGTGCTCTGCCGGCAGGTGTCACCCACGTGGGCGGACATCACTCGGGAAGAGCAGGTAACAGCCAGGTCAATGCACACGGCACCTGCGGCTCACGTCGGCCTGATTCCAGGGGCCTCGGCCTCCGCCAGGTGCGCTGCTTCTCGGGGGGCCACCCTCGGCCTTCCCACGCTGGGAGAAGCCCAGCCCCGGCCCGGCTGCCTGGCCCCTCGGCGCGTCTGCCTCCCCTGCTGCAGGTGTCGGGTGGCGGTGAGCCCCGTGGCCGCCTCCTGACCTCAGCACACCCAGGTGGGGAGGACGTGGCCGCTCCAGCACCCCAGGCGCAGGCTCCATCTGTGGCGCGCGGGTCCCCGGAGGAGGCGCCTCATTAAGCCTCCTGAATCTTGTGTAACTGTATCGCCATGTGGCACCGGCAGCCTTGGGGGGTTACCTGGCCGCTCCCCCCGCTGTGGGTGGCGGCCTTTATTCTGAGGCTCAGCTCAGAAGCCTCTGATCCTGGGAAGGATTTGGCCCCGACGAAAATGGACCCAAGAATGTGCCAGGTGTGGGCTCAGCCCCCGTCCTGGCCCCAGACCCCACTCCCAGTCCCACGGGGCTCATGCCCCTTGCAGAGCTGTGGACTGAGGAGGAAGGTGGAGGCCTGCATGGAGCTGGCGAGGCCCTGGGGAGCAGGCGCCCCAAGCTTTGGCTGCAGGGAGGTGTGCTCAAAGGCGACCTGTGTGTCTCCTGAGCCCGGAAGACCACCCACCGGCTTTGCAGCGGCTCCCAGGGCTGTGGAGAAGGCCCCGGCAGGTCTGTGGCTCTGCCCCGCTGCCGCAAAGCCTGTAGGGCGGCCTGAGGTTTGCGTGTGACCTCGCGAGGCCGGGGCGCACAGGCCCGGGGTGGAGTATGGGGCCCTGTGCTGACCCGCACCCCACACCCTACACCTTGGGGGCAGGACTGTGGGACCCGAGGGTAGCAGCTGGGCAGAGGGCCCGCGGTGGGGGCGGGCGGGGCTGGCGAGCTGGGGTGGGCGGCAGCAGCTCTGTGGCCCAGCTGTGCCCAGCACATGTCGCCGGGCAGCCCGGGAGCCCTCACCCCGGCGCGCGGCTGGGAGCAGCTGGCCGCAGACCGGCCCCCGAACAAAGAGCACTTTGAGAGCTATGCCTGCTGCGGGCTTTCTGGCCAGCGGGCCCTCCAGGAGCGCCGGGACCAGCCCCTGGCCGTGGGGCCCCTGTGGAGGTGAGACAGCTGGCCGGGTCCCCAGCCGGCCCAGGCTTGGAGGAGCAAGGCCTCGGGGGTCTCTGCGCCTCTGGCCTCGTCAGCAGCAGGGCTGCCCCATGTCCCCCACCACTGAGGGCAGCCTTGGTGGCCTTGAAACGTAGGCCTTGAAGGCCGGCGTCTGGGGACAGGAGCGCCTGCGGAGGGACCCCAGCCCGGGTTCTGCAGGGGTCCGCATCCAGGATGGGGGTTGAGGGGGCTGAGCCTTTGCCCGTGGCGGCCCCCCTTGCCGGTGTGCCGGCCACCCCACTCCACACACGTCAGCACTTAATCCCCTGCAGTTAATCTTCCAACCTCTTTAAAATTAATTTTCCATTGGAAAAGAGCAGAGCCGGAAGGTCAGAGGCGCCCGGGGCAGCACGATAAGGGTCTGAGCCGGTCCCTTTCTTGTACAGCAAGAACCCCAAAACCTCTGCCATCCCACAGGCCGCTGGGCCGGGTGGGCGCCGCTGTCACGTGGGGCTGGGGCAGGGCACGGCCCGCTTTGGAGCGAGGAGATGGCGGCTGCGAGCTGGACCCACGGGCGGCGATTCCCCGGCCGATAAGCGGGACAGCAGATAAGCCGGCCTCTTGCGAAACCCGAGTCACCCGCAGCCTCCCCTCAGCAGCAAAGCCCTGACGGGCGCCCGCAAGCCCGACCTTTGTCTCCTCCCCCGGTGCCTGCAGGCCAGAGCCACTCCAAGTCGGGGGCTGGAGGGGGCAGGCCCCGGGGCAGGGCGCCCGCCTCTGTGACTTGTTCTCAGTAGCCGAGGGTCCTGCTGTGTTCCCGGCAGGGAGACCTCAGCCCCCTGGCGCGTGACCGTGCCCCTGCGTCCATGTCAGCACCCAGAACCTTCCGTGAGCGGCCCTGGGCCCCAGCTGGCGGGCCGGCCGGCCTTGAGGGGCTGGGGCTGGCGCCACAGGGCAGGGGTTGCCGAGGTCGAGGCCCGGCTTAATCCTGAGCTAACAGTGGCCCCTGGAGAGTGGAGCCGGCGGCTCAGGGACAACGGACTCAGGCCGCCGTCCTGCCCCGGCGGTCCAGCCCCGCCCTCCAGCCCGGGGGCGCTGGCTTGAGCTGTGCCCAGACTCATGGCCTGAAAAACTCGCCGCGTCAGCCATGTGTGCCGTGTCCAGGGCTCAGCCATCCCCAGGGCCCCCGCCCGAAGGGGACCCCCAGGAGCCCGCCTTTTCCTCGCAGCTGCCCCTCTTTAGTTAAAATTGCTGCAAAACGCAAGTGTTTGCGTCTTCCCACCTGAAGCTGTGCTCCTGCTAAACACCCACCCTGCCCCAGCCCCGCAGCCCCAGCCCCTCCCTGTCTGCGGATCTCGGGGGACACGGCCTGGTCCTCGGGTGCCGGCTGTTGGTGCCGCAGCGCCCTCCGGTCCTCCGTGCCGGACGGGGTGGGAGAACGTCCTTCCTGTCCAGCATGGAGCACTGGTGCCCGCGTGGGGGTGCCCCTCTGTGGCCCCTGGTGCCCCCGTTTTGGCTGCGGGAATATGGTGGAAGCCCTGGCCTTCAGCTGCTTGAGGTGTGCACTCCCAGAAGCGGGGTGCCGGGGAGGCGACTGTGCCTGGTGGCTTGAGGGGCGGCCGCCCCCTCCTGGGGCAGTGAGCCGCGCCTGCCCTGCCCTCTGGCCCCGTCCGGAGCCACCCAGGGGCGTGTGGCCGTGTCTCATCCCGTCTGCCTTTGGCCGTCGGGGCGTCTGCTCCGGAGAAACGCCTGCTCGGGTTTTTGCCCTTTTTTAATTGAGCGTCTGCTAGGAAATTTGTTTTAAAAAACAATCCCAAGTTGTGCAAACACCGCAGCACCTGAGGGGCTGAGCTGGGGGCCGAGGCTCTGCCCGCCGGGCCTGGCTCAGGGTTGCATTCACAGAACCCAAAATGTGCCCGAGTGAGGGGCAGTGCGCCCCGCGGCCGTGGACCTGCAGAGCCGGGCTGGAGGCCTCGGGGTACCCTCCAGGGGCCACCCACAGGCAGGCTCCTCGTCCAGGAAGGCACCAGCCCTCCAGCCTCCCTCCCGGCACCGTCCTCTCCTCTCTCTGAATCTAGGGGCCCCACATGAGCCGCCGCCACGCGTGTCCTTGTCTGGCTTAGCGGCGCCGCGAGTCCTCCGGGGCGGGCACCAGAGCCCTTTTCAGGGCTGAGTCATATTTCAGCCTGTGGTTGGCACCTTGGGGCCGCGTTCTCCTCGGGCCCTTGCGGTCCCAAGTGAATTTTAGGGTGGGCTTGTCTGATTCTGCAAAACGTTTCCCTGAGACCCAGGAGTGCGGGGAAGCGGCCTGGACAGCCGCTGCGAGTCCCTTAAACCCCGTCGGCGATGGTCTGCAGCTCTCGCCACCCAGACGCGCCTCTGAGCTACCCCTGGGGGTGGCATCTTGACGCGTGTGTGAGACTAATTTGTGCCTCCGCCCGCCCCTCTCTCCCCCTCTCTCCATCCCTTCACCCGCCGCCCGTCCGCCCGCTGTCCACCGCCAGTGTGACCCCGCAGCCCCTTGGTCCCGCCTGCCCCCACCTACCCCCAGGCTGGTGCTCAGAATGGCCTTTGGCGGAGGCCTGGGGTGTTGTTTCACAGCTGAAGTTTTAGGGTGACGTGAGTGGCGCCCTCTGGGTCCTCCTGCCTCCGGCTGCTGCCCGGCGCCCCTGCCTTGGGTGCTCCTTGCAGCGGGCCCCAGGGATGGCCACCAGCTGTCCACACCCTGCCCCAGGTCCCATGGTGGCACGTTGCATGAGCTGAAGGGCCAGTCCTCCCGAGCACGCGCGCCTGCCCCGCCGGCCTGGGCTCCAGGGCCTCAGCTGGAAGCGAGGCTGCCGTAGGCATCGCTGCTCAGGGCCGCACAGACCCGGCCTCGCCCCTGCGGCCTAGGGCCGGCGCCTTGGCCTCCCCGGTTGACCCAGGCAGGGGTTGTTGGATCAGGTGGATGTGCGGGGCCCGGCCTGGCCCGGCCGTATCTGGCCCAGCCATGTCTGGGGGCTGGTGGCGCTGGCCCGGCGGGCCTGGCGTGGGGTGAGTGTGCCCCCTGCTGCCCGCAGGAGATCGTGCTGGTGGTGTTCTTCGGGACGGAGTACGTGGTGCGCCTCTGGTCTGCAGGCTGCCGCAGCAAGTACGTGGGCCTCTGGGGGCGGCTGCGCTTTGCCCGGAAGCCCATCTCCATCATCGGTGAGTCCACTCGCCCCAGGGCCCAGGCGGGGCTTGGCAGGGCTAGAGGGGGCACCCGGATGACCACCAGGCTGCGGCCCCTGAGGACTGGGAGAACCCAGGCCTGGCCTTCCCACCTGCCCCTTGGCGTGGCGTGGGCTGGTCACTCCCCGGGAGGCCTGTGAGCCACATGGGGCCCCGCGCGTGCCTGAGTCCCGTGTGGGGCCGTGTCGGGCCTGACCGCCAGGCCCCTCCCAGCTCCCCGCCTGGCTGGTGACACTGTCCCCTCCCTCAGACCTCATTGTGGTCGTGGCCTCCATGGTTGTCCTCTGCGTGGGCTCCAAGGGGCAGGTGTTAGCCACCTCAGCCATCAGGTAGGTCCTGGGCTCTCCCGAGAGGGCGGGGGGGCAGTGTGTGTGCACTGGGCTGCTGAGCCAGGGCCAGGGTGCCGTGGGGGTGAGCCTTGGGACCTGGCCTGGCACCTGGGGAGCTGACCCTGCTCACTGGTAAACTGGCGTGACCCCGGAGTCGTCCTGCAGGTGCTGGCCCAGCCCTGACCTGTGCTTGAGGAGGGGGCTGGGCGGCAGTGTGGGGAGGGGTGGGTTGGAACCCAGGCTTTGAGGGGCTGCGCCGGAGAGGGATGAGCTGGGCGGGGTGCAGGCCAGTCAGGGGCAGGCCTGCGTGGGGTAAAGGTCTGGAGGTGCAGGCCAGTTGGGCGGCAGCCCTGGGCAGGGGGTAGGCCTGGGTGGGGGGCAGGCCTGGGGGTATGGGCAGGTAGGGGGGACAGGCCAGGTGGGCGGCAGGCCTGGGGGGCAGGCCTGGGCAGGGGAGGGGGCAGGCCGGGTGGGGGAGGAGACCAGCTGGGAGAGGCAGGCCTGGGGGGCAGGCCTGTGCAGGGGAGGGGGACAGGCCAGGGGTCAGGCCTGGGGGGCAGGCCTGTGCAGGGAGGGGGACAGGCCGGGCGGGGGACAGGCCAGGGGTCAGGCCTGGGGGGCAAGCCTGGGCAAGGGAGGGGGCAGGCTGGATGGGGAGGGCAGGTCAGGGGTCGGGCCTGGGGGCAGGCTGGGTGGGGGATAGGCCTGGGGGCAGGCCTGGGCAAGGGAGGGTGGAGGCCAGGGGTGCAAGCCGGGCGGGGGAGGGGGCAGGCCTCGGGGCTCAGCGCTGTCTCCTGCCAGGGGCATCCGCTTCCTGCAGATCCTGAGGATGCTGCACGTGGACCGCCAGGGCGGCACCTGGCGGCTCCTGGGCTCCGTGGTCTTCATCCACCGCCAGGTGGGTGCGGGCGCCCCGGGGTGGGGGTACAGCACGTGCGGGGTCAGGCTGCCTGTGCTGGGCCGGGACGGCGGCCGGGCACTGCTCCTGGGGAGCCCCGACTCTCGGGAGCCGGGGCGGGGGCCGGGGCCGGGGCCGGGGGCCAGGGCGTGACTGACCGCCTCCGCTCCCCCAGGAGCTGATCACCACCCTGTACATCGGCTTCCTGGGCCTCATCTTCTCCTCCTACTTCGTGTACCTGGCCGAGAAGGACGCCGTGAACGATTCGGGCCGCGTGGAGTTCGGCAGCTACGCGGACGCCCTGTGGTGGGGCGTGGTGAGTGCGGGTGGCGGCGGGGCCGGGGCTGGGCTGGCGAGCCCCAGGAGGCACGGTTACGCCCCGGGCTCTGCCGCCACGCTGTGAGGTTCCTCCCTGAGCTGGGCTTTGCCAGGGCCGTGCCCGGCTGGAGCCCCGGCTGCTCGGGCGGTGGGGAGGGCAGGGGCGTGGGGCTGCCTGGCGGAGGGTCTGCTGGTCCACAGTGTCCCCGCGCCCAGGAGCGGGCAAACAGGACACTGCAGCCTGGGCCGGGTGAAGGCACCGGCTCCGGTGCTGGGGACAGGCCCTGGCTGCGGGCTGGCCGCTGGCCTGCACAGTGGTGACCAGGCTGGGAGATGTGGGGCTGCTCTGGAAAGCGTGGGCTCCTCCCGGGCCCCGGGGTGTGCAGGACCCTGGCCGAGGTGGTGGGAGGCTCTGCAGGCCCGTCTTGCCTGCTGCGCGGAGCTGCCCCAGCTGGTCCGGTGGGTCCCAAAGCCCCTCTGTGGCTTCCCGGGCAGCTGTGTGCCCTGACTAGTCGCACCCCCGCCCCAGGAGGCGGGCCCACAGCAGGGGCTCCCAACGCTGGCAGAGTCGGTGTGTTTTCTGGAAGCTTCCAGCATGCCGGGCTGCTTAGGGAAAGCCAGGACACGCTGACCAGGCCCCTGTGGCAGGGGAGGCCTGGTTCTGGCTGCCTCTGCCTACCCTCCTCCTGACGGTGTGGTCCCCAACCCCCATGGGCAGGTTCTGGGGGGGCCTTAGCCACGCGGGGCTGGCTGTGGGCTGGGAGGGGTCCTAGTCCTGCGTGGCAGGAAGCGCATGGGTGCTGATGGGCTGGTGACCAGAGTGCCCGCATGGGCGCTGCCCGGCTGCCTCCCGGCTGGCGGGGTGCTCATGGCTGCTCGGCCCCCGCCCCCCCCCCCCTCCAACCGGGGCCCGCGGCGCTCCCACACCTGTGCAAACATCCGCCCGCCGGCCGGGAACACGGCCCCTTTGTGCCCGACTTGGCACCAGTGCCCCGGCCCTAGCCGTCAGCTGCAGCCCGCCTGGCCACGCGGGACTGGCCGGCCCAGCATTCCCGCCGGGCTCTGCGCCCCAGGGCCGCCAGGGGCCCCCCGCTGCCGGGCTCTGGGGCAAACAGCTTCCATTCATGGCCACGCTGCCCCTGCAGCTGTCGGGGTGGGGCTGTCCGGGGCCTGAGTTATGGGCTGTGCTCCTGGCTCAGCTCGGACAAACAGAGCTCAGAGCAGGCCGGGCGGCCCGACGGGGCTTTGCAGCCAGCTCGCCATTTGCCACTGTGGCTGGGCAGTTGTTTTCTGTCCCTCTCCTCGGCCCTGGCCGGCCCCTCCTCTGTCCGTCCCGCCGGGGTGGGGGGAAGCACCAGCCCCCCGCCTGCCCCCCGGGCAGACACGGGGGGCTGTACGTGCCGGGCTGTGCTGTGTGGGGCCCGTCGGGACCGAGGACTCAAACCAGAACATTCCTGACGTCCACTCTGCGTCGCCGGCCTGGCCCAGACTCCACATACCCCAACCCCGTCAGCACCGGGTGGGGCGGCTGGGAGCCAGGCCCATGTCTTCGAGGTGTGAGGGACGGGCCCGGGCAGGGTCTCGGGGGACGGTGCAGGGTGGCCCAAGTGCAGGCTCAGGCCCTGGCCTGTGGGTCTCAGCCCTGAAGAGCATCCGCCACGCCGGGGGCTCCGGGTGGGCTGGGCCTCCTCTCGGTCTCTTAAGGACACTTGTCCTTGGGCCTGAAGCCCACCCAGGACGTCTCCGCCCAGGCCCCAGCTCACACCACAGAGCCCTGCTTCAGAGGCTGGTATCTGAGGGGCACGGGTTTTGGGGGTCGCCGTGAGCCTGGGGTGTCCTGGGGCGGTCCGAGAGGCCTCCTTCTCCCCCAAGCCTCAGCATCCACACTGTCCGTGAAGGTGCTGGCCCGTGGCTGAGAGCCCAGAGGGGCAGGCGCCCCACTCAGGTGTGAGAGCCCTGCTCCCCAGCAGGGCGCCCCATGCCTGGCGGCTGAGGTGTTTGGGAGGATTTAAGACTGTTTTCTTCGCCCTTGGAACAGAACGCGTGTGTTTGTGCCGCAGTGTGAGCAGAGGGGGAGCCGCTCTGCTCAGGGCCCTGGGGCCCTAAGATCGGGCTTGAGGCTGTTTACCCCCCGTGTCTAAATTTAGAATTCCGAGCGAGGCTGGAAGGCTGTGCCTGTAGCTCAGCCGCCATCTAAAACAGTCTGAGTCCCGCTCTCAGCCGGCAATTCCTGGAGGTTCCGGCCTCCGGGGCTGCACCGCATCCTTCAGGGGCCAGGCCAGAGGGGTCTGGGGCTGGGGGTCTGTGTGGACATTTGCCTACTGTCCAGTGGGGCCAGTGTTGTGGCCTCATCTGAACTGGGGAAACCAGGGCCCCACAGGCCAGCCCCACCCGGCACTCAGACCCTACCAGTCCCCGGCTCTTCCTTGCCTGGAGTCGTGCGCAAAGCCTGGGTCTGTGCAGCTGAGAACCAGAGGTCTGCAGGGCGCCAGGCCGCCTGCTCCCTGGCCGCATCCACACCATCACCTTCAGGTGTGGGCTGAGAACTGTGGGCTCCTGAAATCCAGCCAGAGCGCCCTCCTCAGGAAGGGCTTTTACAGCAGGGTTTTGCAGTGTGCGTAGGAGTCCACGAGACAGGTCCACCTCCCTGTGCTGATCCTGACGGACTTCTTACGTGGACGGCAGGCACAGTGAGGCTGGAGCACAGCTCTTGTTTCCTCCGTGGCAGAGTTCAGGTTGTGTCAGGGAGCATGAGCCACAGGAGTCTCGGGTGACAGAACTTTTGGGTTGGCCCGGAGGAGAGAAGCCTGCAGGATCAGCCTCAGAACGTGCAGTGGGAGCAAGCGGGAGGGTGGAGAGTGCCCAGGAGCAGAGGGTGGAGCTGGCTGTGCTTGCCCGCTGCACCACTGACCAGCTGGCGGCCCTGGGCAGGTCACCGCCCTGTCCGGGACGTCTGTGGGTGGATTCCAGATGAACGCTTACTTCCACAGCCCGCGGGAGGGTCAGTGCAGGAGAACAGAGCTGGGGGCGCCCGTGCCTCTAGGGCCCTCAGCAGCCGCGCTTCCCTTGGCACTTCCCAAAGCCAGACTCCCGGCCTGCGGGCAGTGGTCCTACAAGCGAATTCAGCTAGTGCCGACGGCTGCCGCGGCCCAGTCACAGACCCCTGGTCTGGAGCACGCTGCTCCGGCGCCGGCTCCAGCCTCCAGCACCCTTCTGCGCCGTGGCCCCGTCGCGCCTGTGTTTGGGCCCCACCCCTGTCGCGCCTGTGTTTAGGTGCCTCCTGCTTTGACCCCGCGTCCTCGGAGCCAGCAGGGCCAAGCCGGGAGGGGTGCACGGAGGCAGGTGGCCGCGTGAAGTGCCGTGCAGGCTGGGGTCAGCTCTTTGGGCCAGGCCAGGCGGTGGCTGCATGGGCCTCAGCTTCCCATCTGTAAGTGGGGAGCCAGGGGGTCGCCCCGGGGCTCAGGCCGAGGGAGCTGGCCCCGGGGAGCGGGGCTGTTTGGTTCCCTCTGCAAGATCGTGGTTTCTTGTCGGCCGCCTGGCAGGAGTGTCCTGGCTGTCCCTGCGAAGGTCGCCACCCCCTTCCTCTGATGGGTGGCCACAAGTCTCCAGAGGGGCCGGACTGTGAGGGAGGCTGCAGGCTGACCACGTCCCCAGGAGAGCTGGGGCCCCCGCGGAGACCTGCCTCAGAGAGCAGAGTGAGGTGGCGGCTTCCCGCCTCTCAGGCCATGCGTGTGCGTGCGTGTGGGGCATGGTGTGTGCAGGTGCCTGGCGTGTGGACACGTGTGTGCGCGTCAGGGGCGCCACAGCTCCGCTGCACCCCGGGGGCGGTGGACACCCGCTCCTCCGTCCCCACGCGTCCCTGCCCGGCATTCGCGGCCTGGCTGGGGCGTGGGGTCTGGCTCGAGCCTCCGCGCCAGCCCCGCGCCAGGCTCCGGGGGCCATTCCCGAGCTGCTTATGCCTGTGAGTTTGGGGAAAGCCGACAGCTCGTGGGGCAGCGGGAGCGGCGGGCCACCATGCAGACCCGTGCGGGCTCGGCCGCCTGGGAGCAGGGCCTCAGGCAGCCTCACGCCCCAGCCCACCGCACGCCCCAGACGGCGCCCCCCGCCCCCCGAGAAGTCGCATCTGGTTTCCAGAAGAAAGGGCCGATGGGCCACCTGGGGGGAGGGGGCGTCAGGACGAGCGCGTGTCCACCCGGCTCTCGTCAAGGACCCCGGCCCGGAGCTCCCGCCTCCCGGGCGAGCGCGCCCTCGGTGGCCGGTGGCAGGCCTGGGGGGCAGGCGCCAGACTGGCCTGGCCGTGGTGCGCCCTGGCCACGTCCCCTGCGTGCCGTCTGGGGCTCCTGGCCCCGCTCCCCAGGGCCGTGGCTGACGCAGGGGCGGGTTCGGCCAGCTGACCGCGTCCCTCTGCCTCGCAGGTCACGGTCACCACCATCGGCTACGGGGACAAGGTGCCCCAGACGTGGGTGGGCAAGACCATCGCTTCCTGCTTCTCGGTCTTCGCCATCTCCTTCTTCGCGCTCCCCGCGGTAGGTGCCTGCGCCGCTGCCCCCGCCCCCTGGGCCTCTGCGCGCCGGGCATCGGGCGGGCAGGCGGAGCCGCAGCTGCTACTACTGACCGTGGGCTGCCCGCCCCCACCCCCCGCCTGCGTCCTCCCCGGCCGGCGTGGACGTAAGCCCTGGTCTCGCACCCTCCAGGGCATCCTGGGCTCCGGCTTCGCCCTGAAGGTCCAGCAGAAGCAGCGACAGAAGCACTTCAACCGGCAGATCCCGGCCGCGGCCTCGCTCATCCAGGTGATGGGATGGCGCCCCCGACCCGGTCACCCGCCTTCCGCAGGGCGGACCCTCCTGCCCACCGCAGCCAGCCCCAGGCCCCCGTGCAGGGGAGGGAGGCCCTGGGGCAGCAGGCGGCCGAGCCCTGGCCTGCTCTGGCCTGCGACCCCCGGCGCCCGGGGCACCATGGGCCCTTGAACACGAGTGGGGACGCAGACACAGCCGCGCGGAGGGCGGGGGAGGGGCCAGGCCTGCCTGGGCGGGGGCGCTGCGAGCTGGGTGGCCACAGCTGTCCGGGCGGCCACGGCTCACCCCCCTGTGGTTCCAGACGGCGTGGAGGTGCTACGCAGCCGAAAACCCCGACTCCTGCACCTGGAAGGTCTATGTCCGGAGGTCCCTGCGCAGCCACGCCCTGCTGTCCCCCAGTCCCAAGCCCAGGAAGTCCGTCATGGTAAGCAGGGCCGCCTGGCGGCGCGGGGCGGGGGCCCGGGCCCAGCAGCAATGCCCTGCGTTTCAGCTCGTGCGGCCCACATCGGGGCGCGGGCGGGGTCCCATCCCAGCTTGGGGACATGGAAGGAGCCCTCCCCGCCCGTCAGAGAGGCCGTCCAGACGCAGGCCAGGGTGGGCCAGGCTGGTCGACGGAGCGGCCCTTGGGAAGGCCTTGGTGTTGGGCCTCGGTGCCTGGCTCGGCCAGCCAGGGGAGGGTGGGGCCCGGGCCCAGCGCAGGGTCTCGAGATCCGTGTTAGAGGAGTGGGCAGGCCCAGACCAAGGTGGGGCAGGCCGGGGGCCCCACCCGTCCCAGTTTCCAGCCGTCTCTGGGGCCTTGGGCCGCAGCCTCCGACGGAACATTCTGGATCCAGCTCAGCCTGCTCCCTTGCATCCTCTAGGTCACCCCCTTGCCGGCCCGGCCCTGCTGCCCCCCCGCCCCGGGTTCCTGCCCGCTGGTTTCGCATGTTGGTCCGTGTGCTAGTTTCCACGCCCCCAGCTGCGAGGGGTCCAGGACCCCGGGCGCCCCACGCTGTGCAGCCTGCCCTGCCTGCCCAGGCCCCCGCGTCGCTGCCCAGGGCGCGGGTGCTGGGGGTGTCCTGGGCCAGCAGAGGCCCTGCGGGGGAGCTGGGACCGCCAATTTATCCTCTGGATTTTAGGTGAAGAAAAAAAAGTTCAAGCTGGACAAGGACAACGGGGTGAGTCCCGGGGAGAAGACCCTCACGATCCCGCACATCACGTGTGACCCCGCCTCGGAGGACCGGCGGCCCTTCCACCTCTCCGTGGACAGCTGCGACAGTCCTGGTGAGTGGCCGCACGGGCGCCGGGGCTCCGGGCCGAGGCTCTCAGGGTGGGGAGTGGGCAGTGCTGGGAGAGGCCCCCCACCAGCCCTGCGCAGCACCCTGTGGGTCCTGCCTTGTCAGCTGCCCCGCACTTCCTTGCTGGCTGAGGACAGCGGACACTGACCTCCACCGTGGGTCAGCTGGGTCTCTGCCCCTCCGTGTGGGTTTAGTGTCCTTCCTCCCGAAGCCGGCGCTCTGGCAGCGAAGGCCGTGGAAGTGCCAGCGTCCCTCCGTCTGAGGGCTTTGCCTCTGCTGGGCCGACGGTCTGATTGGGACAGTTGCGATGGGGCTTCCTCTGCCGAGCGGTGGTCGCCGGCCCCTGGCCCCAGCAGGACTGCCGTGCGGCCCCTCCCCCTCCGCGGGCTTGGACGACAGTGACGCGGGGGGACTGTCTTATCTCCCTGCTGACAGTCATGGGGCTTCCTGAATCTGAGGGTTCATGTCTTTCATCGCGTGGGGGAAACCAGCCTGAGCTGCGGTGCCCCCGAATTTTGGTAAGGATCGCATTGGATCTGTATGTTGCTTTAGGAGGGGCAGCCGTTTGACTCTATTAATTCTCCCAACCTGTGAACAAGGGATATCTTGTCATCTCCTTGTGTCTTGTTCTCTGTATTTTCATAGTGTCTACTGTTCAATTGCATAGATCTTTCATCTCCTTTGCTAAGTTTATTCCAAGCTATTTAATTTTTATGCAATTATAAAAGGAATTCTTCTCATTCATAATTTGCATGTCGGGATGTAGCCGATTACTGTGTGTTAATTTTGTGACCTGCCCCTTTACCGGACTCACTTACTGTTTCTAACAGATTGTCGGGGGGTGTTTTGGTTGTTCTGTATGTGTTACATTGTCTGCAGACAGTAGTGATTTCACGTCTTCTTTTCCAACCGGATTCCCTTTATTTCTTGTTGTCATGTGACTGGTCTGGCTAAGACTGCTCTTACCAAATTAAATAGGAGCAGTGCCGTGCGCACCCCTGCCTTCTTCCCGATCTTAACAGGAAAACTTGCCGTTTTCACCACCTGCCGTTGTTATGCTGAGGCGTAGTGTGCCTAGAGCCATTCGTGGGGAGTTTTCGTCATAAAGGAGTGCTGTGTCTCGTCGAATGCTTTCTCTCGTCCATCGATACGAACGCGGCGCTTGTCCTTTCGCTGCCGCGGTGCGTGAGGTTAATGGAGTTGCATCTGTGGTTGAACATAGCACCCCGTACCCCGGAGTGAATCCCACGTCGTCGTGGCACACGAGACTGTCAATGTGTTGTTGAATGTGGTTGGCGAGTATTTTGTTGAGAGCTTTTGTGTTTGTGTTCATCGGAGATGTCGTCTGTGCTTTCTGTGTGTGAGTGATCTCCCTTTTCTGTTTTGGCGAGAGGGTGATGTTGGCCTCATAAAGCACGCTAGTATGTGTCTCCTCTTCTTTGAAGGTTTGGTGGAATTCCCTTCTAAAGCCATCTGGTCCTGGACTTTTGGTTTGGGGGAGATTTTTTTATTACTGTTCCAATTTCCATAATTGTTATCTGTTTATACCTTCCCAGGTCAGCCATGGTGAACTGTACAGCTCCCAAATTGATCAATTTCTTCAAGATTTTCAGATCTATCCACATCCCGTTGTTCATAGTGGCCTCTTCATGATCTTTCGTATTTTTTTTTTAATTTTATTTTTTATATTCCCCATACAATTACAACCCCCTTATTTTGACCCCAAGCCCTCCTTTCCCCGCCCCCCACCCACCATAGACTGTCTCTGGTTCATAGTTGATTGTCGATTTTGATATTTTCTTTCTTATAGTTGTTCTTTTACCTGGTCCCTTATTTAGGTTTTCTAGATTCCTGCTATGAGTGAGACCATCCGGTATTTTTCTTTTTCTTTCTGGCTTATTTCGCTGAGCATGATCCCTTCCAGCGCCATCCATGTTGTTGCAAATGGCATGTGTTTATCTATTTTGAATGCTGAGTAATATTCCACGGTGTCTATGGACCACATCTTCTTGATCCAGTCATCTATTTTGGGGCATTTGGGTTGTTTCCAAAGCTTAGCTATTGTAAACAGTGCTGCTATAAACATAGGGGTGCAGGTGCTCTTTGGAATGGATGTTTCTGTGTCCTTTGGGTAAATACCTAGGAGTGGAATTGCTGGATCCTATGGAAGCTCCATGTTTAGTAGGTCCAGAAATCTCCACACAGCTCTCCACAGTGGTTGGACCAGTTTGCACTCCCACCAGCAGTGCAGGAGAGTTCCTTTTTCTCCACACCCTCGCCACCATTTGTTGTTGCTAGTTTTTTTTTAATATGTGCCATTCTCACTGGTGTGAGATGGTATCTCATGGTAGTTTTGATTTGCATTTCCCTGATGACAAGTGATGTTGAACATTTTTTTCATATGCCTGTTGGCCATTTGCATTTCCTCTTCAGAGAAGTTTCTTTTTAGCTCTTCTGCCCATTTTTTGACTGGATTATTTTCTTTGTTGTTGCTGAGTCTCATCAGCTCTTTGCAGATTTTTGTGATCAGTCCTTTATCATTAGTGTTGGGTGCAAAAATGTTCTCCCAGTTGGTGGGGTTTCTCTTTGTTTTTGTTATTGTCTCTTTTGCTGTGCAGAAGCTCTTTAATTTGATGTAGTCCCAGCTGTTTATCTTTGCCTTCACTATCACTGCTTTGGGTGATGTGTCTGTAAAGATGTCTTTGATGTGCAGATCACGTAGTGTTTCGCCTATATTTCCTTCTATATATTTTATGGTTTCAGGTCTTATGTCTAGTTCTTTAATCCATTTTGAGTTGATTTTTGTGTATGGTGTGAGGTAGTGGTCAAGCTTCATTCTTTTGCATGTAGCGACCCAGTTTTCCCAGCACCATTTATTGAACAAACTTTCTTTGCTCCAATGCATAGTCTTTGCTCCTTTGTCAAAGATTAGTTGACCATAAATCTGTGGGTTTATTTCTGGATTTTCTATTCGATTCCATTGGTCTGTGTGTCTGTTCTTGTTCCAATGCCATGAAGTTTTGATGATTATGGCTTTGTAGTAGAGTTTGAAGTCTGGGAGTGTGATGCCTCCATTCCCTTCTTTTTTTTTTTCAGGAGAGCTTTGGCTATTTGGGTTTTTTTGTGATTCCATATGAATTTCATCAATAATTGTTCTATTTCTTTGAAGAATGACATTGAAATTTTGATTGGAATAGCCTTGAATCTGTATATTGCTTTTGGTAGGATGGCCATTTTAATAATGTTTATTCTTCCAATCCATGAGCAGGGGATGTCTTTCCATTTCTTTGTGTCTTCTTCTATTTCTTTTAACAGTGTTTTATAGTTTTCTTTGTATAGGTCCTTTACCTCTTTTGTTAGATTTAGTCCCAAGTATTTGATTTTTTTTGTTTCAATAATAAAAGGGATGGTTTTGTTGATTTCTCCTTCAGATTTATTGTTGGTGTAGAGGAAGGCTACTGACTTTTGCATGTTGATTTTGTATCCTGCCACTTTACTGAACTGATTGATGAGTTGAATTAGTTTTTCTGTGGAGTTTTTGGGGTTCTCTATGTATATTATCAGATCCTTCGTATTTCTGTGGTATCTGTTGTGATTTATCCTCCTTCATTTTTTTTTAAGATTTATTTATTTATATAAGAACCGGAATACAGGGCAGATGCGTGGAAGGATGAGAGGATCCACCAGAGACAGAGTGGGGAACAGAACAGGCAGACTGAAGAAATACACCGCTGAGGGGAGCAGCGGGCGAGACAGGAGAGGTCTGCTGCATCATGTGGGTATCTAGCCAGCCGGCCGGGATCGAACCCGCACTGCAGAGGCTGCAGACATCTTCACAGCGCGGTACTCAACCACCTGTGCCACCAGGGAGGCCCTCCTCCTTCATTTCTAACTATATTTACAGAAGTTTTGTTTCTTCTTTCTTTGTGAACCTAAAGTTTTGTCCATTTTGTTTACCTTTTTCAGGGGACTGACTCTTGACCTCGCGGAGCTTTTGTATTGTCTTTCAGTTTCTATTCTATTATTTCCATTTTATTTTTCATCACATCCTTTCTCCTACTAAATTTTGGCTGTTTGTTCTTATCCTGTAGATTGCTCTGGCTGCAAACCATCTCTTGTCTCCTGACATAGGCCTGGGGTACGGCTACATCCCTCTGAGGGCTGCCCTGGGCACCCCAGGTTCCACTCGCCTGTGTGTCCATTTTCCTTCATCACCTGGTGTTTGTAAGGCCCTGCTTTGGCCTCCTCACTGACCTGGAGACTGCTGAGATGCTTGTTGTTCGAGCTCCACGTTTGGGGTTTTTTTCAGTTTTATGGTTGATTTCTTGTTTTATAGCAGCATGATCAGAAAGGATCCTCGGTATGATTTCAGTTGTCATCGGCTTATTGACCTTGATTTCTAGCTCAACAAGTGGTGTCTCCTGGGAGCATACCATGAGCATTGAGAAAAGTGCAAGTTTAGGGGTGTGTGAGCCCCACCGATCCAGCTTGTCAACTTGTCGTTCCCCTGTTCATTCTGTCTTGGGGTGACAGAATGGCTTATGTGGGGTGTCAGGTTGCCTGCGATGGCTGTGTCGTTACTGTCTCTCTTTAGTCCTACGAGTAGCTGCTTTATGTGTTTTGACGCTGTCATTTGGTGCATATGTTAATAAGTGTTACCTCTTCTTGTGTGAAGTCCCTAGTCTTTATATAATGTCCACCTCTGTCTCATTGTCTTTTGTAAGTGGAAATCTACTTTTTAATTTAAGAATAGCTGCATTTGCCTTTTGTCCCCTCTAACATTTGCTTGCAGAATTATCATCCAAATTTCTACTCCCAGCTGTGTCTTTAGAGCCAAACTGAGTTTCCTGTAGAAAACAAAATGTGGGATTTTGTTTTCTGATGCATCAAGCCACCCTCTACCTCTTAATTGGTCAGTTGAAGCCACCCACTTCAATGTCGTTATTGAAAGGATAGTATTTATTGTCCTTTTTGTTATTTTCATAG